AAATACTGGGTGTTTGGTAACTGTACACTTCACGTACGTATATACATACATCATTAATAGCGTTAATAACGCTTGGAGACAGCTTGAATGGGCAATGAAGAAAAACTTTAATATAAGTTTAACAAAACAGCAAATGTACAACGTTTCGACAAGGTTTTGTCATCATCAGATAGGTGACAAAACCTTGTCGAAACGTTGTACATTTGCTGTATTCTAAAGTATACCTAAAAGGTATTTCTAACTATGTCCATCCTAATGGACAAGAACTATTCCAAGATTACACTACAACAAATCACTCTTCTTGTGACGTCTGAAATCGGTACGAAGAGCATAAAAGCGCTTTCAGTCAGTATAATTACAATAATTTAATCTGTTGAAGCATCATTAAGATAAACTTCCTCACTATAGCCCTCTATAGACCACGTACTGGCTATAGTCCAGCAAGATACCATCTTTGACCTCTGGAGTCTAGGTTACTAAAAGCAGAAAAAGATGGTCCAGCCAGATATTAGGTGCAGTTCTGATGAAATGGTCAGTCAGTATACTTTAAAACCAAATTAACATAACTTAAACAAAGAAGGAAGAGAAAACTTAACTGTAATAAATATAGGGCAGCGTTTTTCAGATGCAAATCTCCACTGATCTTAGTTTCAAGTTTTTACAAATGTGGACTCTTATTCTGTGTTGTTGGTAAAAACATTAGAAAAAAATATTATGCTTCTTAATACTCCGAATTTTTCCTATGTCTAGAGGAAAATTTACAAGAAATAGTGATGTGAAAGTGAAAAGTTTTATATATGTGGTCTGAATTTCATGTTTAGGTTTTTATTACTAGTATATTTTGCTCTTATATTTCGACATCTTAATACTGACATCAAAAGTTATTTGTCTTTATATATTTTGGCTAAGACAAAACTCTTAACCCAGGTAATATTCAATTCTTACAAATCAGAAAACACTATTAAATATTATTTGCTGTAAAACGTAACTTTCTTTTCTTCGTGTTAGTTCTTCTCCAAAAATTAAAGGTTATTGTTTTGGAAACCTCTGAACATTTCTCGCGTTGTGTTTTTCTTTCTTTGTTTGTTTGTTGTTTTTATTAGAAGTGTTGTGATCCATGTACAATATTATCAGATTTGTTGTATTGATTTTTAATTCCTTTAATTGTTTACATTATGTTGTGTTTTTTCTCAACAAACATTTTCTTTTGTCCAACTTTAGAGAAGTCCTGAGCACATAATGAGTTGCAGTCGAACCACGCCTTGTGGCTGGGGCGTGTACACTTATTACAGTCGGGCTGTGCAATACTATATGAGAACCCCGTATGTATTATCAGTTGTATACATCTTATGTTTACTTATTGTGTTGTAATGACAAATTTTGTGCAATATTTCTAGTTAAACTGTTACCATCTTTTGAACTTTTTTACAACCAAGAAGTCAGTAAGTGTCAATGGTCGAGTTTGCAATATATAAAAGCGAGACGTTACTAGAAGAAAAAAAGGTACACCAAGTGGCGTCATCTATTAGTAGTAAAAAAACCCCATTAAACTTTAATTTTTCGCAACATATTAATAAGAACCTTTAGAAAACATTTACAATATACAGTTACACATCCCATGTCATCTCAAATGTCATCCTTCATAGAAGAAAGATAAAATAATAGAGAATAAAAGTTTCAACTAGATTTATGCGAGACAACACCACTTCTGCCACACCAATATGGCGTCCAGGCAGTGAACTAAGGTCGTGTCGTAAAGGGCAGTAGCGCTAACTTTTCCAAATAATTGGGAGCGTTGAGTATATTTTTTGCACAGCTTCAGGATGCTCAGTAACACTCGCATCAAAGAATTTTGCTGGTGTTCAAGCATCCATGGAGATAGCTCCAATGACTAAGGACATGAAAGATGTATAATCCATCTTAAACTGAGCCAATCAGTCGAGTCCTTGCTCACGAATCAACTACCCACTTCATAATAATAAAAAAGTTAATATTAATAAGCTACCTCATTATAATAAATTCACAGTTTAATAAAAAAACACACTACTTCACTAATAGTTTTAAATAAATATTACAAATTGAATAGAACGTCTATTCTCATTCATGTTCCTTTGACTTTTGACACTACAATGTATCATTTATATGTATAATACTTTAATAAAATAATAACTCTTTGATGCTCCTACCCAAAGCTTTATTATTGTAATCGTATGAGGATGACAAATCACTAGGCATGCTTATTTTAAAACACACTATGGAACAACATCAACGCAGGGTCTCTCGGTGTTATGTAATAGTTAAAAATTAACGCAACAGAAAAGCTAATTTTTTAAAGTGTTATCCGTAAAGTAGTTTTGAAATAAAGGAATCAGTATGTTACTCAACCCCCCACACACGAAAACAATAAATAAAAATTCGAAAACCAGCTCTTGCCATCTAGTGAAAAATTTTGGCATCTAGCTTTTCGGAACAGATTTTTCTAACTTTACTCTTGAAAGGTTTTATACTTATTTTAACATATTAAAAAATATGTTGCAAATAGTTCAAACTTCCAAAAAAATTGTCTCTTTTTAAAGACCCAAACCCTTTTAAAGACAGTAATTATTAATCACTGTATAATCAAGGTCACTTAGAGCAGCCCCCCCCCCCCCACGTGGCACAGCGAGATGTCTGCGGACTTGCACGCTAGAATCCGGGTTTCGATACCCGTAGTGGGCAGAGTACAGATGGCCCATTCTGTAGCTTTGTGCTTAATTACAAATAAACACATAGAGCATTTGCACACTTCATTCTCTCAATACAAATTCTACATTAGACCATAATATTTGGAAGAAACAATATATAAATGTTTTGTTATCAATTTTCTCTCCATTAATTAACGGACAAATATATAATATAATTCGCTCAGAAAATAAATAAACCAATAGATTTTTATATTCCGATAAAAAAAAGTCATTTATGAGATTTTATTACAAAAGAATCAGCCAAGAAATATAGTCTGTTACACAACATCTTTGCCTCCAATGGCTGGGCAGTAAGTGTAAAGGCTTATATCGCTAAAAATTGGGTTTCGATACCCGCAGTGAGCACAGATAGCCCATTTTGTATCAATAACAAACAAAAAATACACAATATCTTCATCTATTATAAAATGTTAATAATCATCAAACATCAATCATCAATCATCATTTGTTTTTATATTCACTTTGTGATAGAGGTAAATAAATGAAGCCTATATTCTGTTCCGTTTTGCAAAGTGTCTTAGTGACTGAATACATTTTTCTCTGAAAAAAGCATAGAACTTAAAAAAGCTAAACAGAATATAAAAAAAAATCAATAAACTTTTTTTAAACTTCTCTAAAAGATCTGAGGTGTAATGTATTTCTTCTTGGTGTTTTTCAATAGATGCCAATGTCCTAATGGAACAAGATGTGTAAGAACAAATGATGAGTTACTCATCTACTCATACGTCTACCATTGTCGATCTTTCTTGGAACAGGCTGAACACGTATGGCCAGACTACAAGTAATAGGCTTAACCCTTAAGCCTAATACACGTATGGCCAGACTACAAGTAATAGGCTTAACCCTTAAGCCTAATCCTCTGGAAGGAATTTACCCTCTGAGAATTGTGTGATCCCGCTCTATTTAGTTCATGATGATGACCCTTAATTTTTATTGCATATCCATGTATATAATGGGTCTATTTTTGGTTGTATATTTTGTAACTTACATTTGAATTTGTAGATTTCGTTACTTGTATTTCTCAGTTTGTGTAAAGCTATATCAATGTAATAATATACTGACATTCATTCAATAAATTCAAGAGATCTGAAAAATGCTGATGAGTTTCTTATTAGGTGTCTGCATGTTTAAGCAACTCGCCTGTTAGCACTACATTTAATATTATACAGTTATTTTTGAGCAAAACTTAGAACAAGAGTCTAAAATTTAAAATCTCACAAGAATATTTTTAAAAATATTACATATAGGAGCATGAATCCTTTTTTCCCCTTAACATTTGAAATCATTACACGCAATAGCGTACTGAAAATGTTACTTAGTTTAAAAAAAAATCGAGATAGAAAAAAAAATAGAAAGTTTACTTTCAATTCCTCTTCTTTCATTTCGGTTTAAATTTTTCACAAGTGCTCAAACTCTGGTGGAAACTTCATTTTCGAGGGTATCTGAAAATGGCCCCCAGTTAGACAGCGGTATGTCTGCGGACTTACAACGCTAGAAACCGGGTTTCGATACCCGTGGGGGGCAGAGCACAGATAGCCCTTGTGTAGCTTTGTGCATAATTAAAAACAAACAAACAAACAAGTATCTGAAAATTACGTGACATATAAATGTAAACCCCCCAAAAGACAGTATCAGTTTAATCACTTATAGCGCATGCGCAGTCATTAAATACGTCATTAACAAAGATGGCAACAGAGAAGGCTGTCTATGTCCTGTGGCTAGCTGAAATCGTCTGTTCGAATGCAAAGACAGTATCGTAAAAGATCTTCCAGTTAAGAATTCTATCAAGAAGTGGTACAGATAGTTTCAAGTCAAGGATCTTGTTATACAAGAAATTAGACGCGATGGGCCGATCCCCTGGTCAGCACGGTCGCCGGACATCATTCCATTGGACTTTCCCTCTGTAACTATGTGAAGGACAAAAATGACTGATTTGGGGACACTACATGAACGGATTTCAGATGCAATAGTTATTGTGATACCCGATACACTGGTCAACACATGGATGAAAATTTAATAGAGACTTAATATCTTAAGAGCCACAAACGGAGCAAATGGCGTCTGGCCAAAAAACTACATTGATTAGCAAAGAAATTATGTTGAAAGTGAAAATATTATTCGTGAACTTAGGCCTACAACTATGTACAAGGGAAAGTAGTCTTCAGCAAACGTTAAGGAAGAAATACACTAATTTGTTATCGTTACGTGACTTAAAACAATCCAAAAGAACCCGAACAATGTTTGTTTGTTATGAATTTCGCGCAAAAGTTACACGAGGGCTATCTGCGCTAGCCGTCCCTACTTTAGCAGTGTAAGACT